GAGAGGGAGAGAGAAAGAACATCAGTGATGACAGAGAATCATCAATCAGCTGCCTCCTGCATCTCCCCACCCCCCACTGGGAATTGAGCCTGTAACCCGGGCACGTGTCCTAACCGGGAATTGAACGGAGACCTCCTGGTTCACGGATCAATGTTCAACCATTGAGCCACATGGGCCGGGCTCCTTTCTTTCTTTTTCTTTTTTTTTTTATGTTTATATTGATTTAAGAGAGAGGAAGAGGGAGAAAGAGAGAGAAACATGGATCGGCTGCCTCCTGCATACCATTCATTAGGGACTGAGCCAGAAACCCTGGAATATGCCCTGATCAGGAATCGAACCAGCAACCTTTCAGTGCACAGGGTGGCTCTCAACCAACTGAGCGACACTGGCCAGGGCAATTATTCCTTTATTTCAATGTCTTGTCTCATATCAGCTAGTTGAAACAGATATTGGACAGTTAAGCCTTCTAATGCCAATATTAGAATTTTATAATCCAAACTCCCCAATCTCTGTTGCCCATCATTTACCCAACTATTAGCTGTTATTATCATTGCCCAACTTCCCTCCCCTACTCAACCCTAATTAGCTTGATTTCAGAAAATTCAAGATTTGGTGCCGGAAGCCGGTCCATCCTTGCTGCTTGACACAGTCGCTGCAGGGAAGAAACATCTGCACAGCATATGTTTCAAGGGACCTGGCATATATGGCATACTGTTCTTAATATGTTTGCTCCCCTTCTTGGCGCTATGTGTTTTAACCAAGGTCACCTCTCCGAGAAAGGTTGTTTCCCCAGATAGGGATTTTCCCCTTAAATTAGGGAGGGAATAAAACCCCTTAACTAAGTGCCAGGCGGGTAATCACTTTAACTATGAACAATCACCCTTAAGCTACATAATCTTTACTCCCTGGAATGGAGATAAGAAATGCCCTAACCTTTGGAATAGAAATTGATAGGATTAAAATCAACTGGTATAAATACAGATGTAACAAGATAATAACACACAGAACTTGGCTGGAGAACCTTGGCTAGAGAACCTGGCTATGATGATCGACTGAACGCTGCCTCTATGTCATTCCCTCCTTCTTCGCCGACTCCGTCCACACCTTTGGGAACCCCTGGACCTGCTGGGGCTGGACCCCAACAATTTGGGATTAAATACATATTTTCATTCTGCCTTCTCATCCTTGTTACACAATATAGACACCATCTGGATTGCTTCTGAGGCAACCTCTAACTAGGGTTTAGGGAAGGCATAGGAAAAATATCCCACTCTGAGGTGTGGGACATAACTATTTATAAATTTTATAGGGACAGATTGCTACGCCGAGGCCCACCCCGGCGGCCCGGGTGATGTTTAGGTGGTGGCTTCAGAGACGGTGGGCTTTCCGGTGGTTCCAGCTCAAGCATCATGACGGGGAAGAAGTCTTCCCAGGAGAAGCGGCGCAAAAGGAGCGGCCCAGAGCCCAGCGAGCGCCGGAAGCGGCGGAGCACAGATTCGGCCTCCGGGGTGCCGGGCTCCGCGCCGTAGGAAGCCAAATATCTTTTACCAACTTTGGAAAAAGAATTATTCTTGGCAGAGCACAGTGATCTTGAAGAAGGTGGTCTGGACCTGACTGTGTCATTAAAACCAGTTAGTTTCTACCTATCAGACAAAAAAGAAATGCTTCAGCAGTGCTTCTGTATCATCGGAGAGAAGTTACAGAAAATGCTGCCTGACGTGTTAAAGAACTGTTCAGTAGAAGAAATTAAAAAATTATGCCAAGAACAGTTAGAACTCCTATCTGAAAAAGAAATATTGAAGATTCTTGAGGGTGACAATGGTATGGACTCTGATATGGAAGAGGTGGCAGATGATGGCTCGAAGAAGGGATCTGATTTAGTCAGTCAACAAGACATCTGTACAGATTCTTCTTCATCCCTGAAAGAGAACAAGCAACCTGAAGGTCTGGAATTAAAACAAGGCAAAGGGGACGATAGTGATGTTCTCAGTATACATGCAGATGCTTATGACAGCGACATAGAAGGCCCATGCAATGAAGAGGTCGCAGAAAATACAGTCCAGAGTGAAGCTGGTCAGATAGATGATCTGGAGAAAGACATTGAGAAAAGTGTGAATGAGATTCTGGGACTGGCAGAGTCTAGCCCAAAGGAGCCCAAAGCAGCTACCCTAACTGTTCCTCCACCAGAAGATGTTCAGCTTTCTGCACAGCAGCTGGAGCTGCTAGAACTTGAGATGAGGGCAAGAGCCATTAAAGCCCTGATGAAAGCTGGTGATATGAAAAAGCCAGCCTAGTTATTTAATTTGAACCTGAATTTTAGGTGTGTTTGAACAAAGCCACATGATATGACTTTGTATCTGAAATTTATTTGGATCTTACATGATATTTCTCATGTAACCCTTGTTAGATAAACTCAATCTAGACCTAAAATACCTATGGCTATTTTTGTTGATGTTACTTTTATATTATATATGTGTTATTGTTTTATGAGTTCATGACAAATATTGTTAGATAATTGGATACTTTGTTAGATAAGTATTTTAGCTTGTCTGCAGATTAATATCTGAAAAGCCATTAGCAGAGTCATGGTAATTTTTTTTCTTAATTTTTAAATATTTTGGTACCAAGCCTAAAAGCTTAAAAAAAATTGACTAAGCATGTTGCTCTTAAGACCACCTATATTTTGCAATGATGCTGAAACAAAAACAAAACCAGCTAACAGAGCTGTTAATAAAAAACTTAATAATTATTATGAGAAGCAATAAAATGAAAATCAATCTTAGATAACAAAACAAATTTCCAATCACATAAATACATTTTATTTTTTATTGAAATTTTCCACTCTCAGGAGATCCTGGATATAATAAAGGAATACATAAAATAGAAACAGTTTAAGTAAATGTGATTATTTGGTTCATTTCAGAAGGTCTACTGGTCCAACTGCCAGCCACACAAGTCTCTGAGTTCTCAACGAAGTGTGACCAGTTCTTCCGAAGAGGTAGGGTGAATGGCAACCGTGTTGTCAAAGTCGGCTTTTGTGGCTCCCATTTTGACTGCAACAGCAAACCCCTGCAGCATTTCATCACACCCAATTCCTTGCATATGGATCCCAACCACCTGGGAAACAAAAGAGAAAGATACCTGCTATTTAAAAACCTCTAAAAAACTTACATCTCTAATGACACAGCCCACAGGCCCTGCGTGGTGCTGCCTCAGCATCCCTCCACAGCCCACCTCACACAGCCCTCCCTCGGGCTCTCAGCCTCCCTCTCTCCCGAGCACTCACACGTGCTCTCGCCTTTGCACAAATTGTTCACTGTCTGGACAATTTTCCCTCTCCTCTTTTAAGGGTTAAAGCCCATGTATTCTTTAAATAGCTATACTTCTTTCCCTACCAAGTTAAACTATCACTAAATGATCTCTCACTACCAATAATTCTCCACCATGGTTCTATCACAACTGCAATGTTCTATTTTTTTTTAAATATATTTTATTGATTTTTTACAGAGAGGAAGGGAGAGAGATAGAGAGTTAGAAACATCGATGAGAGAGAAACATTGATCAGCTGCCTCCTGCACATCTCCTACTGGGGATGTGCCCGCAACCCAGGTACGTGCCCTTGACCGGAATCGAACCTGGGACCTTTCACTATCCACTGAGCCAAACCGGTTTCGGCAATGTTCTATTTTTATTTGGGGACCGGACAGTTGCAGTCCATCTTATCCAGGTGAAGGTGCCCCTATCTGCTTGCGTTCCCCACTCTATCCCTATGGCCAAGCACAAACACGCCCCTTAGGAGGCACTCAGTCCATAATGTTGGATGACTGAACAAAGAAAGGGCCATTTGTTTCCCCTCACCATTTCCAGTGAGGTTTCTCACTATATTTTCAAACTATGAGTTTAATGTTCACTTTCAGCAAATACTTTTAGGGTAACCAGTCCATTGAAAAACAAAGTTAGAGAACCTAACATTTAGCCACAAAAATATTTTGTTTAAAAAGAAATCAAGAATATACTTAATGTTACTGAATGGTACACTTAAAAATGGTTAAGATGGTAAATTTTATGTTATGTGCTTTTTACAATAAAAAGTATATCTCAACTTAAAGCAAACAAAAAAATCCCAAATCATGTATTATATATGCACTATAGAGAATATTTTTAAATATTGTAATCTAAATTGAATTTATAACACCAGAGTTTCTGATGATGGCAGGAACTTCACATTATTCCTCTCCATATCTCAGTTCTTAGTCTTTTTAAAAATATATATATTTTTATTGAGTTCAGAAAAGAAGGGAGAGAGAGATAGCTACATCAATGAGAGAGGATCATTGATTGGCTGCCTCCTGCACGCCACCTACTGGGGATCGAGCCCGAAACCCAGGCATGTGCCTTTGACCAGAATTGAACCAGGGACCTTTCATTCCGCAGGCCAATGCTCTATCTACTGAGCCAAACCAGCTAGGACCCAGTTCTTAGTCTTTATTAGACTGTCTGGTAATGTTTATCAAAAGAATGAATAATAAATGGTATGAAGAAATAACAGATATGAAGAGATAAGTGAGGGGCCCTGCTCTTTGAACATCTGGAAAGCTTAAGCTACTGAGGCACATTCAAGGTTAAGAAACAGCGACCTTCATTTTGCTGCCAACCCACTTCCTTTCTTCACTTTGGTCTGATTCTCTGCATTGCCAGTCCGAAGTGACCTTGACTTCTATAAACCAGGGACCATGTTTTGTGACCACTGTCCCTTGTGGAGCCATGTTCCCAAAGCATATTGCTAAGTTGCATTTCAATATTTAATTTGTAGAAAAGTCCAATAGGCTGACCTAATACCAAAACAAAACCTACTTCAAAAATTCTGCCTTAAAAAAACCTATTCAGCCCCACCAGCGTGACTCAGTGATTGAATGTTGACCTATGAACCAGGAAGTCATGGTTCGATTCCTGGTCAAGGCACATGCCCAGGTGCAGGCTTGATTCCCAGTAGGGGGTGTGAAGGAAACAGCTGATCAATGATTCTCTCATCATTCATATCTCTGTCTCTCTCTCTCTCTTTCTCTCTCTCCCCTGCCCTTCATCTCTGAAATCAATAAAAATATATATATATTTTTTTTAATAAAAATATATTTTAAAAAACAACCTGTTCAAATTCAAACCAAAACCACAATAAGATACCACTTTGTATCCACTAGGATGGCTATAATAAAAATGATAAT